AGATGCCTGCTCCAGAGCCGAAGGCTGTTAGAGAGCCATCTGTGTAGCAATTTATTCCACTATTTGGTTTATGACTTCTGCTGCTATCTATCTCAACCTTATATTTTCGGTCCTGATATTCTCGGATTAGAGTGTCAGAGTGCATAGCTAGCACTCTTTCACTTCCAATCCTGTTCAGCAGTATTGTGTGTCCTCCCTGACAGGGGACTGTTGAACAGTAAGTTGACTTGCTTATCCTGTACATTGTAATTGTTGCCCGAGCCTCCACCTCCAGCTGCAGCGGGGGCATGCCGAGCATCACCTCCATAGCAGCCGTCGGTGTCGTGCTCATTGCGCCTGTTATCATTATACAAGCAAGCCTTTGAATCTTTCCTAATAAGGATAAGTTGGCTACAGTCTTTGCTTTGTGCCACCATAGCAAAGCTGAGTAAAGTATGATAGGTCTGACTGTTGTTGTGTACAGCCAGTATACCATTTTTGGTTTTAGTCCCCAATTCTTTCCTATCGCTCTTTTACAGGCCCATAGGCATTTGAGGGCTTTACTTGTCACGTTTTGAACGTGTTTAGTCCATGTCAGTTTATGGTCCAAAGTGACTCCAAGGTGTTTTACTTCCTTACTCAGTGTCACTTGGATACCATTGATTTCCGGCATTTTAATAGCCACCTTCTTCTTCTTAGTGAAGATACACACATTGATTTTCCTAGGGTTGATGCTTAGTCCTTTAATCCTGCACCAATTCCTAAGAATATTGAACACTGTACTGAGGATATCAGAGAGGAGACTCTGATGCCTCCCTCCTATGAGGATGGCAATATCGTCAGCATATCCCTGAGCATAAATGCCTGCAGTGTTTAAGGCTTTCAATTATGAGTCAGCCACAAAACACCACAGTAGCGGAGAGAGCACACCTCCCTGTGGACATCCCCCACAGGGTTTAATCCACAGTTCCTTGTGCCCTATTTCTGATTTTAGAACTCTGTCCTCCAGCATTCTCCCAATCCATCTGGAGGTCATAGCTTCTATGTCTTTTTTCCTTAGCGCATCATTTATGATGTTATAGGGAGTTCTATCAAAGGCACCCTCGATATCAACGAAGACGCCTATCATGATTTCACTCTGTTCTAAGGATTTCTCAATTCTTGTTACCAAGTTGTGAAGCGCCACCTCACAGGATTTTCCTGGTTGGTAGGCATATTGCTTTGAATGTATTGGACTAGTAGCCAATATGTGTTCCCTAATATGTCTGTCCAGTATCTTTTCCAATGTCTTCATTAAGAAAGATGACAGACATATTGGCCTAAATGCCTTGGGGTCTTCATAAGATTCCTTTCCTGGTTTAGGAATGTATCGCACTTTGGATATCCTCCACTTACATGGTAGATATCCCAGTGCTAGGCTACCTCTTAGAAGTTCCAGAAGGTATGGTCTTATTTCTGGGAGACCCTTCTGCAGCAGTGCTGGAAAGATCTCGTCCATTCCAGCAGATTTGAAAGGAGAGAACGAATTCACTGCCCATTCAAGTCTACTGTTTGTTATCACTCTTCTTGCCAGACCCCACATACGTACCACGATCCTGTGTATTGGGGTCAAGAAGTTCATTTATTGTGGTAAAACAATTTGGGAAATGAGCTTTTGCTACCACACTCAATGTTTCCATCTCATTCGTGGTGTGCTTATCGTCATATTTGAGTGTTCCCATTATACCTGAATTGGTTTGTTTTGACAGTATTTTGTTTACCTTACATACCGCCGGCATGTTGTCCACCTCCAGACAAAACCTTTTCCAGGCTTGTCTTTTGGCTTTCCTGACAGATTTGTGATACTCAGTAAGAGATTTCCTATAGGTATCCCAATTGCCAGATTTTTTAGAAGCATTGAACAATCTCCTCATGAGTGCTCTTTGCTTTGTTAGACTATCATTCCACCAGGACACTTTCCTGTTGGTTGTAGTTTTTTTGGCTTCATTACTGGCCAAATATGCTCTAGTCATAGCATCAGTAATTGAAGTATTTAATATTTCTAATTGCCATGTATTGTGGATAACTTTGGGGCAGCATTTGACAGCCGCCTCCAAGTTAGAACTATAGGACACCCAGTTTGTTCGCTTGGGGTCTCTATTCATGTTGTATTCTATCAGATATATCAAATCTGATATATCTGTGATCCGAGCATGTTTCTTCATCAGAGACATGCCAGTTATCTATAAGGTCACTAGTCAATCGAGTCGCTAGTGTTATGTCTATGATCTCAGTCTTAATTCTATTACAAAAGGTAGGCTTGTTCCCCCTGTTCAGAATATCAAGATCATATTTAATAATAGTCCCTAAGAGTTTCTCACCTCTAGAGTTGGTGTTTGTGCTTCCCCAGATCTCGTTGTGTGCATTAGCATCCAGGGCAGCAACAATTTCCTCCTTACTCTTTAATAGTTCATCCATTCCTTCTTCAGGCTCTGGATGTTCATATGGCAGGTAAACCGCCGCTATGATTAGTGATTTGTTATACCCTTGTTGGGTATATTTGGCTGCTGCAAGATCTGTAGAACAAAATTGCCATAGAGGCAGCAGTTTTAGTTTGTTTTCAAAAAGTAGGCAGGCTCTAGGATATGTGGGTGCAGATATTATTCCATACCCATGCATATTTAGTCCTTTGATCCTGCCTTCATATAAGTAAGGTTCAAGAATCAATATTATATCAATATCATTACCTTTTATGTACTGTTGCAACACTCCACATGCCGCAATGCAGTGGTGGATGTTGATCTGCAGCAGTTTCATATGTTTTGATTGTTTTATGTTCTGGAAGGTGGTTTTCCAGACGGGGCCGATGGTAGGGTTCTTCCCTCCGACTCAGTTTTCACTTTGTCTTTAGGTTTCTCCCCGCCTCTCGGCCTCGCTTTCGAACCACCACCAGTGTTAGATGGGTGCTGCGAGACAGAGGTCTGGCCACCTGACCACGACAGTGGCTGGGGTTCGCCTCTGCAACCAGTTTTCACTGGTTCCTTTGGCTTAGCCCCGCCTCCTGCCCCGGCCGACGGCCTCGACCCCGTCCTCGACGCACTCCTTCCCGAAGAGGAAGATTCCTTGTTCTCCCTCTCCTTTGATGTACCTGCTTTCGGCGCCTCCTCTTTCATTTCCTCCGGAGCAGGTTTATTAAACAAGCCCTTTAGTCAGATTTATATGTTCTCTTCCATTTTTTATTCATCCCATATTTAACCAACATTTTTGTTATGTTGTTTCGAATCATTTTCAGAAGATCAATTTAACATTTAATTACAAAGTTTTTTATAGGTAAAGATTTAGTTGACATGGCATTATTCATATATACTGGTGGTCAAAAAAACCCAGTGCACCTTAAATTTTATCGATATTTCCTTCCCAACAGAAAAAAATTGCAATTTTTTTCACCTTTATATAGTGTTACATGTTATTTTTCTAGGAGACAACAAATAGAAGGAAAAAAACAACAAAAATTCATTTTAAAAAACCTGTAGTATAAAATACAGCAAATCGAAACTTTTAAACAAAAATAAAACACATCTAATTCTTTTTTAATTATGAAATCAGAGTCTCTGGTACCTAGTGTTATCTCCTCTTACTTGAATAACTGCCATTACTCTCATAGGCATACTGTGAATAAGATTGACTACCTGATACTGAACCTGATCCCATTCTGAATCTGATCCCCTTACTTGGAAATCACATGGAGGGTTCTGATCAATCAATTGTTTGTAGATTTGATACTTTTCACTCAACAACTTGTCCACTGCACAATTGAGTCCAATTCATAGTGCAAGCCTACATTGCTTCTCATTCCCTCACTCAATATCACATAAAGGAGTAAATACTAGAGGCCATCTACTACAGGACGGACGTCTTAAGTTGTTCCCAAATATGCTTAATAGGATTAAAGTCCGGGCTGCGAGCTGGCCACTCCAAGGCGCGCACACTATCCTAGGTAGTCCAGTACATTTTTGATGTGTGGCTGAGCATTATACTGCATAAAAAGGAAGTAGACGGCGATAAATGGACCAAAAGGTATCACATATTCCTCGAGAATGTCGGTGATGTACGTGTGTGATCGGCCTTTGGAACACATTGGAGGTCGGTCCTTGACTCTAAACACATTCCACCTCAAACCATTACTGACCCTCCTCCACTCTTTTCACTACATTGCACCAAGCATGTTGCTTACCTGGTTTTCTCCATACTCCAACTTGTCGATCTGCTCCATAAAGGCTATACCTAGGGGCTAGTCAGAAAACAGAACAGAGGCCGAATCAATTCTGATTAGTTACAACAAAAGTGAAGGTGAGCTTTAATGTGCTGCAGTGAGTAGAGAGCCGGAAGTGGGAACCCTAGTGTGCAGGTTGAGTTCAGTAAGCCTTCGCTGTACTGTCTGCATGCTGACATCCATACCCGAGCAATACGAAATCGATGAGAAATCTCAACTGAAGTCTGGTAACGGTTTCTGAGGTTCTGCATAGCAATGAAGCGGTTATCAGCTTGATCTGTCACTCTTGGATGGCTTGATCTCAGCCTTCTAGCATTGTTTCAGGCAGCTCATGGACTCAGGCCGTGTATTGCTGACTTCAGCCGGTCTCAATTAACACAGTATTCTACACGACTGCCACGGCATCCAAAACCATTTTATATTCTTAAAAATGTTTGATACAAATTAAATATTGTTTTCAAGAAAAAAAAAAAACACAACAACAGAACCGATGTGATTGAACAGGCATCTAGAGACCAACTGATATGAAGTCCACGTTTTATTTTAATACTTTTCTGGTTAATCCTAGAGAGAATTATGAAATATTCTTGAAAGGATTAATGCATGGTAATCCCCTTCAACCTGTCATATACTTGTTATTACTTCAGGCTCAAAAACATTTCTTTAATCTGCAGTTTTTATGTCAAATTCAAGGTGCACCAGTTTTTCTGACAAGCAGTATAAAGCTTTGTATTATAACAAATATTCATATTTATTTTCTACTATTCAGATGTACTGTAGTGTGACAGAAACATGCATAGAACCTAGCAAGCTGTGCAATGGTGCAAAAGATTGTCCTGATGGTAGAGATGAGCTAAACTGCACCAGTATTGATTCTGATCCCTATTGTCTAAATGGCTTCCTTTGTATCAATGGAACCTGTCTGTCTAAGGAAGTGAAATGCAATAACGTTAAAGAATGCATCGATGGCACTGATGAATTGGGGTGTAGTAAGTATGGAATTATATTTAAATTGGAATTATAACTCTTCTGTGAAATTATATTGATTTTAAATGATAAATTAATCAGAAGAATTTATTGTTTTTATTTTCACTGTTTTAGATAATACTTGGACAGTAGACTGTCCTGATCCTAAGAGAACCTGTGATAATGGCTCAGTCTGTCTTGAACTGTTTAAACTTTGTGATGGTAGAAATGATTGCCAAGATGGTTATGATGAAAGTCTTCTTTGTGGTAAGGTTTTCAAAGTAATATTTTCTTATATCATTGACAAGTTTGGAATATAACGTTTCTAAATGTAATAAAATATTTTTTTCTGAAGCATGAATTGTAAATCTATTATTTAATTATATTTATGAGGAAATAATGGTAGATTTATGATGGTATGTAAACAATTCTATAAACATTATTACATTTTCTGTAACAATGATTATTATTGTCACTGTGAATACATAAAAATAATGTATACAAAATGAATATACAAAATATATTGTATTATATAATTAAAAATGGTAATTTTAGGACTAAAATTAATTATTGGATTTATTAATTGGACTTTTATTAATTTAGATTTATTAATAGGACTAAACTAATTATTGGAGAAACATCAAGCCAGAGACATTGAACTAATATTTATAGACTATTATGGCAAGCCCTCCAAAATGCAAACATTAATATAGGTCTGATAGATATAATAAAGGAAATGTACAAAGGAAACAAACACCTGCCAGGTCAAAATGGGACTACACCTTTCTGAGCCTTTCCCAACAAGCAAAGGTTGCTCCAGGGATGTTGTGCCTCTCCTTCTCTGTTCAAGATTTATCTTGGCATTTGTTAGAAAGCATAGAGAATAAAATGTGAACCCATGGGGATTCAGTTGAAAGAAAAGGTGTTCCTTTATAACCTATCCTTCGCAGATGACCAGGTCATCATTGCACAGGACACAGAAGATGCTGGATATATGTTAAGAAAATTAAATGAGGAATACCAGCAGTGGGGACTAGTTATTAATGCAGAGAAAACGGAATACATGACATTCAATAATTAGGATATAGAACTGAATCCTGGAGTGGTTCTAAAAAGAATTAAACATTTTAAATATCTTGGTTCCATAATTTAAATAGATGGTGCATGTGATGTGGAAATAAAAAGAAACATTTCAAATGGCAAAAATACCATATCAATGCTCAACTCGGTATTACAGAACCGGAACATTATTATCAAAAAAACAAAAAAATCTACAATAATATAGTACAGATCATTATGACATATGGGTCAAAAACTTGGATCATAAAAAGCAACCGCAGGAAGAAACTTCTAGCCACCGAAATGGACTACTGGAGACGAGCAGCAGGAATATCCAGAATGGATAAAGTCAGAAATACGACCATCAGAGAAAAGATGGAGGCTAAAACAACCATTCTGGAAGAGATTGAGATAAAATGCCGGAAGTGGTATGGACATTTGAAAAGAATGCCTGAAGGAAGCCTACCCAAAGAAGTCCACCTGTAAAAAACTAGGGAAAGAAGAAGACCTGGGATAACGAAGTGGAGGAATCCATGATGGGTCATGGTCTACTGGAAGAATGGACCTTTATATGATATTATGGAAAGAAGCCATCAACCCACTATTAGTGAAAACTCCAAATTAAAAAAAATTAATTTGAAAATGTAACTGCTTATTAAGGATAAGGAAGTTGCAGCCCTATTGCCTTGTCTAGTTCTGCAGTCAGCCAATGCCTCTCCAGGTTGGAAGAATAGTAGATTCAGAACACAGTACAGTATGGCAGTACAATACACTCATTCCCTCTGTGCAAACAGAGGTGATGTAGTCATGTCATGCCCCGTTTTGTTGGGTTAAGTGGTTCGCTCATTTTGGTTCGCATGAGTATGGAGGTGACTAAAAGTTCGCTACAGGTACTACCCCCTCTCCCTGCAGAAGGCTAAATACAATGGGGTGTGCCAGGTGCCCCAAGTGGGTCAAATTGACAGTTTATTTTTATTGGCACCCCCTGCCACTCAGCCATGGCACGAGCGCCCTCCACCTAGCTTGGATGCTGTAGTAGGATCCACAAAACTGTCCTTTAAGGTAGAGGGCAGAAGTGTGGATCCCCGCCTCTGTCGTTTGTGAGTTCCATTGGGGGGCACCATGAGAAGGTGACAGTAGGCGTTGATAGGGATAGGGAAGGCTGGGAAGCACAAGCAGTGGGTAGGGCACTATTGCTTGATAATTCCGCAATGAGTGGGGGAGATTCCCACACCCATCTCCCTCTCCAGCCCTCCTGTTATCCTGCCCATTTGCTCCTCAACAAAAACGTTTCTATAAGGAAAGGAACGTGGTTAGAGGGGTCGAGGATTTCTTTTTTAACGGCTTTAAAATTCATTTATGGGTGGTCCCATAATTTAACAACAACACAGGGGGGGAAAGAGCACCTGAAACTATCTGAGTCAACTATGGTAACGTGGAACAAATTTTTAAGAGAAGTTTGTGCCCATAACATGTTATACAGGTCAAGTAAAAAAATAATTCGTCCTTCAGGACAAAGCCGACACCTTCTTTGGCTCTTTGTCTTATATTAACTCCTGAAAATATCATACTGTACTCCTCTGGGAGTTTTACCAATCCATTCCCTTTCTTCTTCACTTCACTTAGCACGATGATATCCACCTTACATCTTTTTAGTTCCTCCACCAGTTCTCTCTCCTTACCCTTAAGTGACGTTATATTCCCATTAGCAAAATGTAAATCCCTTTTCCTGCCACGTCTATAACCATTTGACTGTCCGGATCCGAGGCTGCTTATATTTCTTTGAATCGATTTACTCTAGATGGGTAATTGGCCCGATGCTAGAGGCCTCGGGACAACTGGCCTCCTGAATATTTGTATCCCCTCAGGAGAAAGGGTGGCCGGGCTATACCCCCCAGCACTGGGTCCACCTGTTGGTCCACGGGTCTTTATTCATTATATTCAGACCACCCCTCCTAGAAAGGATCCCCCATCCGCCACCTGGGGGATGCGCTCCCTAGCGGCCAGGTTCCGCCGAGAGGTTAGTTAATTAAATTTAATATTTCTTTAGTTAGAGCTTCTTATTAAAAAAAAAAAAAAAAACACTTAAAAAAGCACTTCTTGTTTTCCTTTTACCCATTTGCCTTTCAGCATGGGAGTGCTTGAGTCATCAGTGCCATCCATATCTGTCTCTGGCACGACTCCTTATTTCTCCTAAGGCCATCCCTTTGCATCTCTCTATTTGTTCCATGTGGGTGATATAGGAGTTTCATGGCCCTCCTTTTGGTCTTTTTCCTATCGGTCTTACCTTTATGGTTTTGATTGAGTTTCTGTGGTGGTATATCATATGGCAGGTATATCCATATCACCTCAATTGCCTCTTCTCTATAGAGTTTTTCTTACCAGGCATACATTAAGCTCTTCCTTAATCCTCTCATTTCACATACAATCCCTCCGTGTTTTCCCCACGATTTTCCTAAGGAATTTTATTTCCAAAGCAGTAATACGGCTTAGTAGCCTCTCATTTGTAATCCAGCCCTCTGCTCCTCAGAGAAGTACTGGTAGGAAGACATGCTTGAATAAGTGAAGTTCTGTCTCATTTCCGTTTTTTTGATAACAGAGTTACAAATTTGGTTGTAAACGAAATTAGCCTTGGACATCCTACTTGAGATTTTCGAATCCACTTTACTAGATCTACTGATCACCGTGCCAAGATACGTGAAATCCCTCACCACCTCCATCAATTCTCCACTGCAGATAATCTGAATATGCTCTAGAGTTCTACCAACTTGAAGAACCTTGCTATTTGTGTAATTAATAATCATTTCCTTTTTCTTCAGTTCCTCATTCCATTCTCTTACTACCTGCTGAAGTTGCTCTGGGGATTCTGCAATGAGCATGATATTGTCAGCAAACTGGAGAAACTATAATACAATAGGGTATAGTTTCCATTGGCCCGTGTGAATTTTGGCTGTGCTTCTTTTGCAAATGGAGGCAATCTCTTCCATTTGTACAAAGAAGAAAAGGAGGGCTTAGAGAGTCAACTTTTTTTACTTCCCTTTTCAGGCAAAACACTTCTGATTCTTGTCCATTCAGACTCACTATACCCTGTTTCCTGGTACGTTAATTTTGATATTTTGAGGAATGTTTTTGGCCCTTAAGGATTCTCAAATTTCTTTCTGAGGTATCAAATCAAATGCGCTTTCAGGTCTAAGAATGCCAGATAGACGTTCCCATGTTCCCAGGACTTCCCTATCACATTCCTTAGCGTGAAGGATCTTATCCTGTGTTTGCCTGTTGGGCCTAAAAGTGCTTTGTTCTTTCTGCAGAATAGGTTCCACCATTGGTCTTAACTGGCTTTCTAAAATAGAAGTTATAATTTGTTGTATACATATTATATATTGAAGTTATAATAATTAATATAAAATAGAAGTATAATTTGTAAAGCACCAGAGACAGGCAATTAGGTCTGTAGTTGGAGCAGTTGCTTTGACTTCCTTTCTTGTAGATGGGGATTATAACATTGTACTCCCATCCCTGAGGAATTCTTTCCTTGTACCAAACCCTTTGGAAGAACTTGTGTAGAGCTCCTATTAACTATTAATTAAAGGTTATAAAACAATATCTTATGACCAGAGCCCGGATTTTTATGCAATTGCATATTTTGTTTGCTTAATTTTTTTAAATGCTGATCAAAAATCTATACAAATTAGTACACTGTGATGCAATTAGTCCTTTGATGCAATTTTATTTTGTATATTTGAAGATAAATGATATAATTGCATATTTGAGAATAAATGCATACAATTGCATATTTTGATTACTTTAACAAAATAAACAAAATGTATACACATAAATGAATATTTATTTATTTATATATAAAAATTAAAATGCAAAATTTAAGATTACAATCTTAGATTTATTTTCAATAAACAAAACAATAAAATACCACATTTTTAGATCTTATACCTACCTTTCGCTATAACCTTTAAAAATTCTCTTTATAGATGCTCACCAATTCCCGGAAATCTATTTTCCCTTCTTGTCCCATGTAATCATCATACTAAGTTTCTATTTCAGTTTGTTGCCTAAGTTCTTTGTAAAATTGCTAGATCATATTTCTGTTTATTTAAAATGCCAAAAGTATCATCATTTTCATCAAAGTTTAAATCTTGGATTGAAACTTACAAAATCAGGCATGAAATAGTTTTTGCAACTGATGGAAACCCAATGGTACCAGGCCAAGTGGGTGAAACTTTAAATGAAAAAATGGAAGAAGTTTTTGTATAAAAAACTTGTCTTGATTAAGAAATTGTTTGATGTAATTGAACATGTTCCCTATTATTCCAACAGATGATAGCCTTTTTAAATTACATCATGCTGTATGCTGTCAAAAGCTTTTTTTATATTAAAGGAAACAGCAATCACATGTTGTCCATTGATGAAAGCATACTGGGTTTCTGTCTCTAATGCAACTAGATGATCTATTGTGCATCGGCCCTTGCCGAACCCAGATTGAAATGGCTGCACTAAATTATTGTTCTCTATAATCTTTTATTTACTGTACATTCCATTATTTTGCTTAAGCAACTTGTGGGGAATATAGGACAATAGCTATCTGCGAGCGGCTTGTCTTTTCCGTTTTTAAGAATAGGAATAACCAAAGAATTGCCCACAGGAAGTTGGGAAGTGTCCAGTGGACCATACATGATTGTAGTATTTTAGAAGCCAGTTAAGTATGTCATGAGAAAGATTTTTAATCATATCATAATGGATATTTTCAGGAACAGGTGTTGTTCCTTTGATGGAATTTAGGATATATTTTAGTTCCCATATGGAAAAAGGATGGTTATAAAATAACCTATCATCATTTATCATATCTGTAATTTCTGTTTCATCAGCTTAGATATTATTTCTTTCGGAGTTATAGATTCTGTCACAAAAGTCTGCGAATAAGTTTGAAATTTGTAACTGATTATCAGACAATTGTCTGGTAATTGTTGTACTGCAGGGAGATGAAGGGTTTCTTGTGAATTTATGAACTTTGTTCCAAACTTCAGCTGAAGTTGTAGAGGCATTTATGGAACTTATAAATTTTTTCCAAGACTCAGTTTTACACTGTTTGAATAGTTTTCTGCATATGGCATGCTATTTTTTATATTTAATCAGATTTTCTGATGTCATAGATTTCTGATAATTCTTATATGTTCTTTGATGACTTTTTTACAGGCCTCACTAAACCACGGAACAAGCAGTCACTTGTCATGGGAAGTCCCAATGTCATCAGTATTGATGCTTTAGCTGCTTGCACAATTGTATTAGTAACAATTTAACAATCCTTGTCTATATTTACTTCGGATGGAGAGGTTTGAAGTGGAGAGGCCAAGGAATTGACCAAATTGACCAATCTGCTCAGTTTAGTACTCATCTAGGGTTACTGGGAGTGGAGTTTGTAGTTAAGAGTTTGATAAGTATTGAGAAGTGGTCACTACTGTACAAATCGGGAAAAATAGTCCAGTCTATAATGTTGTAAAGGGAGAATTATAGAAAGAAAGGTCAAGTGCTGAATTAGTTCCATAGCTAGAGCTGAGGAATGGTTGTTCTCCAGTGTTAAGCAGGAGAATATCAGAAATATTTAAAAAAAAAAACTATTATTTTACCCTGTATGTTAATATCTCGGGATCTCTATAGAGGATTGTGGCCGTTGAGGTCCCCAATAAATAGAACAGGACGAGAAAGTTGGTTGTAAATATCTAAGAGGTTTTGTGAGTCTATTGAATAATCTTGTGGCATATATACATTGCAAATTGAAAAGTTTAAACCGTGGTGGACTCTGACTGCAACAGATTGAAGATGGGAGTCAATTGGAATTAATTAAGAATATACAGATTTATGTACAGCTATTAAAACTCTGTGGTGACTGTGGTTTGGGTTCGGGCTATCTTTTCTATATATTTAAACATTTTTAATACTAAAGTTAAAAACTGAAGTAATTATCATCATTATAATTCAATGGCAAACTATGGCTGATATATTTGTCAGGTTGATATTTAGATATATCAGACACCAGGTGTAGTCTGGTGAATTGCCAATTTATTGAAAACAGAACAGACAAGTTTCTAAACTTCATTGTTATGTTGTGAATTGGTGCTTTTGTTGTTCTAATTAAAGTATTAATTATTTTCTTATAAGAATTTTTTTTTTTTTTATAGGTGAGGATCAATGTGCAATGATTACTGACTGTACATTTTGTCAAAATACTCCTGAGGGTCACATATGTTACTGCCCCGATGGACAGTACTTCCATGAAGTGAGTTTGTGGATGCATTAATCAATAATAAATAAACATTTTGTTTTAATAAAGTGTAACCTATGTTTTTTTAGGATACCAAAATGTGTAAAAAAGATCGTCCTTGTTCAGAGTGGGGAACTTGTTCTCAAAGGTGTTTAGAAGTGCATAGAAAACCTAAGTGTTATTGTATTGAAGGTTACATTCTTGAACCAGATGGGTTCTCATGTAAATCAAATGGTAAGAACTTTTGCATTTTTATTATCAATACATAATGTAATGAAGCTATTACTTTTGTAGAGTTTAACATTGTGTAGTATCTTATTAATACTCCATATACTGATAAGATCTATATTTAACACTAGAGTAACTGAATATAAGATAGACACAACTATATCTTCATTATTATGTATTAGTCCTGTCAATGAATAGCAAAAAAGTGTTTGTAGAGTGCATGGAGGGTGGACAAGCAAATGACTTTGAGAATTTGTTGGGGGTACTTAGAAGATAAACATACTAAAAGCCCCTCCCCTACCACATCTGCTTCATGGTGGGAGGGCACCGTAAATGTCACTTTTCCAGATTTTCTCATATATCTTAAAAATGAAATTTTGGAGAAGAAACATTGTTGTATAAAGAATTAAAGCTGATAAAATTTCCTTTAAGAAAGTAAATATACATTTCTTTCGTATCTGTAATATGTTTCGAGATATCGACTAAATTAAATTGACAATTTTCAAAAAATTTATTTTCGCCTCATTTTTCTTGTCAAGCTTGTCTTTCTAAGACGACCACAGCTTTTCGTTTTACAAGAAAATCATATGAAAGTAAATTGTAGATTATAGTTTTTCGTTAAATGCATGGTAGGAGAGCGCCGTAATTGTCACTTTTTCATATATCTACGTACATCATACATCTTCATATCCTTAACTAATTTATCTGTTATGAATCTAAAGTTATGGTAAATTTAAATATTCTGATTAATTTCATCAATGCATATGAACAACTATAATTTGTTTATAATTGAGTAAGAATGTAAACCAGTTACACCTGAAGGATGTTTAGCATATATTAATGAATTACATAAAGGTTTCTGATAAGACAACTAAATGGTAGAAGTTATGGAGAAAGGTAATAAAATTTGTCAAAATGGGCTAAGGGTGACTGAGCGTTGACATGGCAGGTTAAAAGGATATTACTCATGGATGAAAGAGGGGTGGCTTGGTAAACGGACAGGAGGAACAAGGATAGGAATATTTATACAATAGCCAGAGCTAATGTAAGCCCAGAGTCCATAATTAATGATAATATCTTTATTGAGAAGATCAATAAATTTATAAAATTTTCCAGATATTAATAATGAGGGAAAACAGAAAATATAAAATTTAATTAAAGAAAAGTATGTTACTACTGTGAGAAGGAAAAAAATTACATAAATTAAAATTTCTAAGCAGATCAAATCTACAATGTTCTCATAAGAAAAAATAAAATGATTACCTAGGTAAATGAATAAAATTATATATATATATAATCCTGTACCACTACAACCCATGAAAGGTCTCGGGTTCAACACTATTTAGGGTACAAGGAGGTGATTTGACCGAGATCACACTCAACCGCCAGGTTTTTCCCCTTAATTAATTAATTATATATATATATATATATATATATATATATATATATATATATATATATATATATATATAATTAATTAAGGGGAAAAACCTGGCGGTTGAGTGTGATCTCGGTCAAATCACCTCCTTGTACCCTAAATAGTGTTGAACCCAAGACCTTTCATGGGTTGTAGTGGTACAGGATTATATATATATATATAATTTTATTCATTTACCTAGGTAATCATTTTATTACCTATATATATATATATATATATATAAAATCCTGTACCACTACAACCCATGAAAGGTCTTGGGTTCAGCACTATTTAGGGTACAAGGAGGTGATTCGACCGAGATCACACTCAACCGCCAGGTTTTTCCCCTTAATTAATTATTTTAATTAAGGGTACCCACATTATTATGTGTGGTTTAGTGCAGGTAAGGTGAAGTGTCAAAGGGATGATGGCCAGCAGGTCGTCGTCATTAATTCACCATCAGATTTGGACATATTTGCTTGACATGTACACTCATGTTTCATTATTTTTTTACAATTTTGTTTTTGCTTTTTCATATTTTCAAGTTTATGTTTTTGTTGCTTTTATTTTATTCATTTACCTAGGTAATAATTTTATTTTTTCTTATGAGAACATTGTAGATTCGATCTACTTAGAAATTTTAGTTTATGTAATTTTTTTCCTTCTCACTGTAGTAACATACTTTTCTTTAATTAAATTTTATATTTTCTGTTTTCCCTCATTATTAATATCTGGAAAATTTTATAAATTTATTGATCTTCTCAATAAAGATATTATCATTAATTATGGACTCTGGGCTTACATTAGCTCTGGCTATTGTATAAATATTCCTATCCTTGTTCCTCCTGTCCGTTTACCAAGCCACCCCTCTTTCATCCATGAGTAATATCCTTTTAACCTGCCATGTCAACGCTCAGTCACCCTTAGCCCATTTTGACGAATTTTATTACCTTTCTCCATAACTTCTACCATTTAGTTGTCTTATCAGAAACCTGGTTGAAACCTTCAATCCCATCTTCCTAGATCCTTCTACCTAACTATACTCTCCTTTGTCATGACAGAGTATACCGTACGGATGGTGGAGTAGGCCTCTTTGTCCATGACAGCCTTAAATCCAAAATCCTTCATTGCTCTTCCTTAACCGATTCAATACCTCTTTGCCGAAATCCTCACAACTTCATCAACCATTCTGTTTGCGGTCATATATCGCCCTCCTAGAATTCCTTTTGATGAATTATTTGAGACTTTACTGTACAATTTAATCCCTTCCTACTCAAATGTCATCCTTTCCGGAGACTTTAATACCATCCTCCGATTATTCCTACCTAACAAGCCTCCTCCATTCTCTCAGCCTATACATAGTACCCTACAACACAACCCACCATACTCAGTTCTCGGATTCCTGGCTCGATCTATTTATCCTAGATTCCACAGACAAATTCCTTGCCGCATCTCAGCACCCGGTCCCGTTTCTATCTTTCCACGATCTTATCTCTTATAATATACCTGTCCCATCCTTTTCTCCCCGAACAATATCCTTCTGAAACCTAAATTCCTTCACTCACGAAACATTATCAAAAGATCTTGACGATATCCAGTGGGATCCCATTTACTCCTCAAAATCCATTGACACCATGGTAGAAACCCTTACCTCTTATCTTCACTCTATCCTTGCCAACATGCTCCTCTTATCACAAAAACCATCCGACATCCTCCCGCTCCTTGGTTTACTCCTGCTTTAAGAGAGTGTATGAGAGAAAGAGATGCTGCAAGGCGACAGTTTAAACGAACTCGACTTCATGAAGATTTTCTCTTCTTCAAACAGCTTCAAAACAGCACTCAATCAGCAGTACGCCGTGCTAAATCCCATTACTACTATCATTCCTTATCTAACTCCCCTAATTCCAAGGCCACGTGGTCTATTCTCAGAAAAGTGACCATTTGTAATACACCCCAATCCCAGTCCATTTCCGTTTCTGCCAATATCCTCAACGCTCACTTTGTCTCTTGCCCTTTTGCAACCACAACTCCTGCGTCCGATCCGGCTCCCATATTTTCCTCTTTTGATCCTGATCACTTTTTTTTTTCTCACATTACCCCTGATGATCTCCTAAATTCCATTCAGAAATCTCATACCAATGATTATGGTCAGACTGATCAAAGCCGCACTACCATCCATTCTTCCAATCCTTTATCATATCTATAATTATTCTCTTCAAAATGCTACCTTCCCTTCATCCTGCAAAACTGCCCTAGTATGCCCCTTGAAGGAGACCCATCTAACCCATCAGCTCTTAATGATTTCCTTTATTTCAAACCTCTCCAAACCTTTAAAACGACTAGCCCAATCGCAGCTATCCCATTTTTTAGAGCACAATAATCTCCTAAACCCCTACCAGTTTGGCTTCAGGCCTGACTACTCTACTCAGTCTGTCCTAATCAAAATTTCCCAAGACCTTCATACAGCCATAGATCAGCAGAAACTAACCGTCCTTATTCTCCTTCACTTCTCTAAAGCTTTTGATTCAGTAGACCACAACATCCTCCTAACCAAACTTAAAAATATATCATTTTCTTCTAGTGCCCTTAATTGGTTCCAATCCTTCCTAACCGGTCGCTCCCAGTATGTTTTGATCCCTAATAGCCCCCATCAGAATCTCTACCCTTTTCCAGAGGTGTCCCACAAGGCTCTTCCTTATCCCCTACCCTTTTTTCCATCTATATAAATGACATCCCATCCTCAATCCTGCACTGTTAATACTACCTGTATGCCGATGACGCTCAGATTTACCTCTCCTTCAATCCGACTGTCGACTGTAAAGATAATTCACAAAACAAATACAAAAAGGTCTCAATAATTAACAGACAAATAATTAAATATATTTGTTATAATTTCCTTTAAATTGTTTAATTGATTGGCACATACAAGGAATGGAGTAATGTAGAGGAACTTAAAAATACTAAAGATGTGGGATAATTATATATTATATAGACCAGACCAATTGATTTCAGATATTTAATTTTTATTAAAAATAATATATGTACATACATAAATATAAATTGTCCACATTATAATGAAAACTTAATTTTTTTAATCGAGTCGAAATAACAATGCTGTACATTACGAAATTTTTTTTCTCCTATCACTTAATAGGTAAGTCCTTTAATTAAGAAAAAGAGCGTTCAACATGAACTGATGTAAGGAGGCTCATTTTATAACAAACAACCACTGCTAGTTCTTTGTCAATATTAACATTCATACCGTTAATGTAGTCGTTATATTTTTCTATGAGAGAGTAACCTCTATTTGTTTCTATTACAGAGTAAAATTATTGAGACATAATTTTTCCTATTTAACTATTGATTTTTTAAATATTTTCTCCTACAGTTTCTATATGTTTATTAAATGACAAATTTCGAGATTCTAACTGAGTTAATGTTTGCAGAAGTTTGACAAATGTGAGTTTATGAATGTCAAATCGGATATTATTGATGCCGAGTTCATCATTCACTTCAAAGCCAAAAGGGATACTGAAGGACTTAAGAAAGAGTATGAATTCAAATCAAAACAAGGAAGGCAGTTTTGTTA